TAATACACTGTTGTCGCCCACTCACGCGATCCCGACAGGGAAGGGGGAAGGGGTAGGGGGGAGGGGGAGAGAGAAAGGGGAAAGGGGAAAGGTAAATCCCGCTTCAGCTCTATCCTCCAGATCCAGCGCATTCTGCTCCTGCGGGGTTCATCTCGCTAAAGTGCGGGAAGGGCGTGGCAACTCCCTAAAGCGCTTTTCTGCCCCAYGCCACGTGGGGCRTCATCAGAGGGCGGGACAACTTCCATGGTCTTTGGAAGGCGGGGGGGATGGGGAGGTGGAGGGTTCACGAGAAGGGTTGCATCGGGAAAAGAGGAGTGGAGCGGGGCAGGCTTTGGCAAAAGGAAGTGGGGTGATGGGGTGGGTGGAGGGGTTGATTGTCGAAGGGCATGGGAGGGAATGGAGGAAGTGCAGGTAGAAGAGGAAGGAGAGGAACGAGAGGAAGGGAATGAAAGCCAGGAAGGCGCAAGCCGAGATCTCAGTCGCCGATTTGTGCTCCATCACCTACGACAACAGCACCGCGCCCACACTCAAAACGCMGGCAGACCTCCCGCACCTATGATGAAGAACAAGCAGTAGCAGCTGGCGAGAAAAAGAGTTGCGAAGCAGATGGTGCCGCCGAGCAAGAGCGCAAAGCGTTTCGTCGTCAGTCGGAGAAACACTCCCTCTGACAGGCACGCGTAGAACAAGACGCAGGCTATGGCRAGATTAGGCAACAGGACGAGGAGGAGGAGGAAAAGCAAGAACGCAATACCCTGCGCGGACGCGGGCGCTATGCCGGACAGGCTGGGTTGGGCAGGGCAAGTGGGGAGAGGCTGCAAAGTGTTAGTTTCGCAACGCCGAGGGAGTGTCGCTTCACARTGCCGTTACCAGTTCCTCCTGTTCCTGCCGCTCGTCTTCCTGGTCCCAATCAGCAAAAAAGTCCATGTCGTCCGTCGCTTCAGGAACTCCCTGCACGTTGTTCGATCGACCAAWCGTCCCGTGCACYRTGAATGCCGAGGAATGCGTGTCAGTTCGATGAATAGAACACCCTGTGTTCTGTTCTGATATAGYCCGAGGCGGGCCTGGCATCCGCAGCCTTCCGATACAAGCTAACCCTCCCAACCTCACTATTCCTACGTACTAATCGGGTGGTCGAAAAAAAGGCGAAATAGGAAAGAAAAGAAAAGAAAAGAAGAGAAAAGAAAGAAAAGGAAAAAGGAAAAAAGAAAAAAAGAAAAAAAAGAGAGAGAAAAAAAGGAAAAARGTGGGCCGGTTGTCCGGCCCTAACTACATCCTACCCATGCCATAGGCCCGAGCACTAATCCGACTCCTATCCTTATTCTTCAAGGTTCGAAAGCAAGCCGTTCTCGTMCACCTTCATCGGTCGGTTTCGGCTGCTCAAGGGTTTATTCGCGGTTTACCCCCTGTTCCGGTCAAGCTACTCCTCCCGTCAACCGAAACAAGAAAAAAGAAAAAAACAAAAAAGAAAAAAGAAGAAAAAAAGAAGAAGAAAAAAGARAAAAGAAAAACAAAMAAGAAACAAGAAAAAAGAAAAAAGAAAAAAGAAACAAGAACGGGGGAGCGGGCGGAGGGGGGAGGGGGGAGGGTACAAGAACACGGGGGACGAGAAGTGAAGAATCGCGGGGGTAGGGATCCGACCCCTCATCCGGATGGTCATGGTGTGGGCATGCCCATTCTCCTTCTCCTTACGCCTTTTCCTTAGACCTGTATGCGTGTGTGTGTGTGTGTGTGTGTGTGTGTGTGTGTGTGTGTGTGTG